GCGCGCGCGCGTGCGGGGGTACTCGAGGACAATGGCGAGCCGTTGGCGAATTTTCGTTGAAATAACAGTTGAAAGCGCACGGGCTCTGTGAAAAATGTCGTTCCTCCTCACCCTCGTCATCGTTCCTCCTCGCCCCTCCACCACCTGCTGCAAAGCAAATAAAGTAGAAAAGGGGGGCAAAAGCCGCCGCTGTAGTCGCCTCCGCCACCGACCACCACTGTTCCGCGCTTGTTTTTTCTTCCCCTCCTCCTCCCTCTCCTCTCCACTCCACTCCATTCCATCTCTCCCTACCGTGCCAGTGGCAAGCCCGTGCCAGTGGGACACATTGGCGTAGATGCGTAGGTACCAAATACCATATATTTAAAGCCCCCGTTGTTTTTCCGAGCCAAAACGTTAAAGGGCCCTTCTTCTCCCATCTTTTTTTTTTTTCGACGGCGATCGTAAATAAGTTGGAAGATAGGGGGCGGGGAGGGTGTGGGAGAGGCAGGAGGGAGGGGAGCTGGTAAGAATCGGTAATCGTAAATCTCGGGGTTGGCTCGATTTAACATCGAAGCGAGGTGGACATCGCGGAGGAAAAGAGAAAGGGAAAAAAAGGAAGCTCGACGACGAAAGGTTGGATGGCGGAAGTGGGAAGTGAAAGAAAGAAAGAAAGAAAGAAAGAAAGAAAGAAAAGGAAAGAGAAGAGAGAGGGAAAAGAAAGAAAGAAGGGAAAAAAAGGAAAAATCGTTGGCGGGTCGTGGTTCGATACCGAGTCGAATGGAATTTATTAGGACTCCCTTTGTCCGATAGCGTTCCAGGGGAGGAAAATGCCAGCTATGTCGAAGCGCATCGGTGGCACGTGCTTCACATACGCGCGTTCGTTTGACCACGTAGCCGGAACCACGTGATTTCCCGCCGCATAGACTGGACTCTCCTCTCCCTGGAACGAAAACTCTGCTCGCCCGGCCGAAAAACTGAAAAAGAAAAAACGACAACGCGTAACGACACGGAGAATTGGCGAGGACGGGGAGGCCGCGCGACCCGTCACCGGGCTGATGGAAGGCGGATGGAAAGGTATACGAAAAGGGTACAACGAGACCCGAGAGTACATTTGGACGATGGATCGAAGGATGGGGGATGAGATTCGATATGGCGGGATGGCGCGTTAACGTTGCACGTTTTTATTTTGCATGCGCACGTACGCGGTGGTCGTATGCACTTCCATCTATTTCCAACCTCCTCCTCGCGCAGGAGGTTGGAAACGCGGCTTGAATAAATATTCAACGACTCCAGCGGACCGCGCTCGAGATTTTTCCTGTCTTCGCGAGGGGAACAAAGAGAAGGGATGGAGGGTTGAACGATCGGTAGGGCTGGTGCCGGTTTAATGGTTTTCTAAAAGCATCCGTCGATACTGATGATCGTTCTTCCTTTCTTCCTTCGTGCAGTACCCATTGGGGGATACTATCGCGATAGGTCGTGTCGCTTGGAACCGAAAATGGGGAAAAGATCCCTTCTTCCTCTCGAATCTCGACTTTACCGCTTCGTCGCGTTTCCGATTTGTCGAACATTGCGATGCATTGTTTCTCTACGATACACATCGGCTAATCCGATTCGGTTGGTTTGTTACGCGAGATGCAACAACAAAAGAAAGAAAGCATGGGAATCGGAAAGGGTACGGAAAGAGGAGAAAAGAAAAAAGGAAAATAAAAAAAATTGAACGGCACGCGGCATCGATATTTCTTCCCTTCGTAACGAAGCGTTGGCCGCCTAGGATAAATTCCACGTTCGTTCGTGGTTAAAATATCGGTCGAACCACCGCGAAACACATCGGTCCCGTTTTTCATTTCCCACGTTTTTCTCCCCGATTCGTCGTCCGTCGGCTTATCCGTGCGATTTAACGGAATTAATATCCGAGCGCGTGACCAGATCGTTAAGCCTGCTCCCCCTCCCCCTCTGTGTGTACCGACCTGTGTACACGAATAATCTACAGATTGCCTATACCGGCCGTGCCTGGCCACCGGAATGACCCGTTCAATCCGACGGGCGCAGCATGCCATCGCGGCAAACCAATCGTATCTCTTCAAAGCGACCTTATTTGTACGTCGTCGGGATTATATAAGCCGAATCCCGATTTCGGCTTACAAACGAGATTTTTTCTCCGCTTCGAGGATTCGTCTCGAAAATTCTGAAACGAATTATTATCGTTATCCAAATATCGTACGAGATCGAAGTTTCGAATCGAATCTTTCGAGGGAAAATAAGCATTAATTTATAATCGGATTCAAAATTATCCAATTCGACTCGCTTTGCCGAAAAGTTACGAAAAATCTCAGACTCTCGTATCTTCGTCCCTAGATTCGCACCCGAGTCTCGAAATCGAGATTCGAAATCGCGCGTTTCGGTATTCAGACTGTTCACTGGCTTACGTACGAGTGAACTGGAGTCTCCGGACACCTACTTCGATACTTAATATTAATTACCTCGGGGATCGAGTCGAAGCTGGTTCATTTACGCTCGCGAGTACGCGTGATCGCGCCGAGTCCGTGCTAACTGTATGTATATATATATATATATCGGTATTAAAGTTCTCCCAGTCCAGCGGTGTTCTGGGACGAGCCAGAACGGAAACGCACGCGCGTATATTTGCAGTTAGACGCGTCCCTGCGATAAATTTTCCCACTGATTCACCCGATCCAATAACAAACTGATTCGCTCGAAACGGGATGAGCGTCTTCGGAGGAAATATCGAAACGTCCGTTGCAGAAGATTCGGAGAAAAATTATTAATAATCTTTACACGATATTCGCCTAAATAATAGATCGATCGGAACGGAGAAACTCGAAACTCTTCCTCGATTAAAAATTCGTTTCCTACACGTTCGAGGAACTTTAAACACACAGCTTCCTATATCCTCTTTTTTTCAAAGAGATGACGTTACTCGATAATCGTCCAGGATCGTCCGTCGACGAGTTTATCCGATAACTCGGAAAATTACTCGACGCCCGTGAAACTCGGTTACGAGCCGAGCCATCATCATCCGAGCCTCCGAGTCTTCCTCCTCTTCTACCTCCTCTCTCTTCTTTTCTTTCTCTTCTTCTTTCCTTTTTTCTCCTCTCTTCTCTCTTTTTAACGCCGACAAAGTTTTCTCGCGCTTCGAAAAGTGGCGGGATATTAAAAGGGGAGAAAGAGTAGTGGTCCGTAACCGTGAGAGGCGCAATGTGGCGCAGCACCGTTTATGAGCCACTTTCGTCACCGTGAAGCGACACAAAGCGGCAGTTTGCCG